AATAGTGAAAAAAGGAAAAGTTCAAATGTGGGTACTAGAATTAGAAGTGAACCTTATAAAAGCAAAAACGGTTAAATAGGAATAATTCCAACTGCAAGTAGAAGTCTTGGCAACTGTGCAAAACCAGATTGACCCAAATAGGATAGGGAAAGCTCTGGTAGGTTTATCTCGAAGATAGGCTGTATATCTGCTTAATAGAAGAATACAATTTAGTAATTAGTGATGCAAATCTAGAATAAGCTACAGAAAGTTCTAAGGCAGGATGTGCAATCTAGTGGAATGGGCTGTTGGTAGTTTCCTGGTTAGTATGATATGTTTGAGAATAGTTAGAATCAAAAGGTTTAAATGGATAACTTTCTAGTTAGGTTATAGATATGATATCTAGTGTAGAACTTGCAGGTGGACTACTTAAAATAGGTATTCAAAAGGTGCATGTATAGCTAGTTGTATCTATAATAACAAATAATTATTAATAAAGAGTTTTCAGATCAAAGAGGTCACCTTAACACTGAAAAAAAAAAAAAATTTCTAATTTACACTATAGGTGATTATCACTTGTAGTCAATTTGCCAATTAAAATTTAGAATCAAATATAATATATAAATTAATTTTGTATAACAAAAACAAATAATTTTTTAAAAAAATACTTATATCTTAAAATTTTGCTTATAAAACCACTTTTTAAGCTCTAATAAAAAAAATTTCTTATTAAATTTTACTATATATAAAATATTATTTTAACCCTAGCATAGAAGAAACTCACTTTTAGCATTTTCTAAACACGTATTATACAATTATTTATACAGACAATGAATTATATTGTACTATAAAATTAAAAACTATGATTAAAACTGTTTAATCTGATAATTGAATCTAATATTATTAATAAATATACTGTAATTATTATAGATGTTACTAAAAGAATATCTTTTTTAATCACTTTTATATATATATATATATTTTCTTTAAAAAGTTTTTATAAAATCGAAGTTAAATATATAATAAATTATAGCAATACGATTATCTTATAGCTAATTTTGATTGGATGATTACAACAAAAAACATATCTATATTTTTTTTATAAAATACAAGTTTCTTCTATGCTCTTAACTCTAATCTTAACTTTAATTTCTACTATAACTCTTACTCTAATCTTAAAAAGATTAATTTTTTATTTTGTTAAAAATTAATTATTTTTATAAATCACAGGTAATAATCACTTGTAGTGAATATTAGTTCTTATTTAAATTATCTAATAAAAATATAAACAAAATTTTATTTTAATACAGTATACAGTATATAGTATGTATTAAAACAAAAATTCAAAATATTAATAAAAATTTTAATATATAAAGAAAGTTAGTAGAAATGGAACAAATTTATCTAATAAATTTGTCCCATTTCTACTACCTCCTCTCTATATATATACAGTATACAGTATATACAATATCTACAGGGTTGGTCAAATTACTGGTCGACCAAAAATTCATTGGTCAAACTGGTCTGGTCAAATTGGTCAAATGGTCTGGTCGAATTGGTCAAATGGTCTAGTCTATTAATTAAATAAATTAGTATTCAAATATATATATATATATATATATATATAGTATATATATTTAAATATCCTTTGACCAATTTGACCAATACTAAACCCTTTGACCAACTGGTCAAATTGGTCAAACCGGTCTGGTCAAGCTTGACCATTGACCGGTCCATGCCAACCCTAAATATCTAGTATATATATACAATATATATGAGATGGAGTCAATAAAAAAGTGACAAATCATTTTAGTACAATTTTTTTAATTTTTAAATTAAAATATTTTAACAACTAATTAATTAAATTTGCTAACTTTTTTTTATTTTAATTTTGAAATTATATAAAATTAAAATAAAAAAAAAATTATAAAATTTAATAAGATAAATGCTAAAATATTTAAACTTAAAGTCAAGAAAACTTTTACTTAGAAAAAATTTGTTTTTTTTCTATTGACTTCACCCCATATATATATATATATATATATATATATATATATATATATATATATACATACATATACATATACGTATTTGATATATTACCTAACGCTAGAGGTTATAAATAAATAACGCAACGCCAAGTCACACATCCCAGTTAAAAATATTGTGTAATGCTATATTGTTGATCAATTATCAATATATATAGGTGCCATATCCCATACCAAATCTTCACAAATTGACCTCGTGTATCACATATTTTTTTTTATATTGTAATTCAAATCAGTCCCCTGAGTTGGATCTCTAAAAATGGCGACGAGGCAAGCTATCTAAAACTCTTACTTTAAAACACTTCAGTAATAAATTATCTTAATATTGACATTACTAAACTTCGAATTTAAGATTGGACCGTCTAGTCCTTCTCCTGGACACCGGATCCACGCCTGCAGTCCGAGCAACTGCTGCGCAGCAATTAGGAGAAATTCAAAAGCAACACCCTGGAGAGCTACATAACTTATTATCAAGGGTATTGTGAAATCTTTCCCTTTTAAATAAATGCCCTAATGATTTATTGCAAAATTTTGTTGCATGATTAATTCGAGAGATCTTCGCTCATGCGTAAATCAGGTTGTTATTCATTTGAGCAATAAAGAATGGGATACTCGGATTGCTGCGGGGCAAGCAATTGAAGCTATTGGCAAAAATGTGCCGCAGTGGGATCCACCAGAGAGTATGTAGTATTATAATTAGCTTTCTCATTAGCTTTTTTTTTTTATTTTTTTTTAGTTTGATGTAACTAAAAATACTTTGATTTTTAATACTGTAGTTGTTAAAATTGAAAACGAAATATCGACTAAAAATGAGTCAAGCGATAATAAATATTCCTTTGAAAATTTTGACATTTCGAATGTATTACAAAATGGAAAAACATTGTTAGGTTCTGCCGGAAAAGTATGTGCCAATTATCTTATTTTAAATCAAATTGTGCAGCCTTATGTGGGTTTCATGGTACCGGTATTTAGTCGACTCAGTAATCCTAATCGTCGTCTTATATAATTAATCTTGCGCTTTAGGAATATGATCTTGATTTAAGTGATCTTGATCCTGCTCAGAGACTCGCGTTACAACATAAGAATCTCAGAGAAAGACTAGGATTAGGTGGAGAATTTATGGACGGTAAGTAGGAAAACTTTAAAAGCTAATTCAAACCAATTTTTATATGATGTCATATACCAATAAAAAGACGAATATTTCTCGCAGTCGATTTATTGGATGATGTTGATATAAGTGGGGCGACTCAAACACAAGTCAATAAGGTCGAGTCTACTTCTATACAACCACCACGTTCTCCAATTTTACCGCCAGAAGACATGGCTAACCTGAGCGCCAGAGAAAGAAATAAACTGAAGAGAAAAGCAAAAAATGATGCAAAAATTAAGGGGAAAGAAAAGTATGCAGAATATCTTACCATAATGTGCATTTACTATGTAGCGCTTTGTATTTATTGACTTATTGATCTAGATTACGTGTTGTGGAAATTGGTACACGAAAAACAAGCGGTGATTATACAACTCCACTAGCGGCCCCACTTGCAACAACAACTGTCAAAGTCGAACCCGATGGTATGTGTAAATATATTTCATAGGTTTACTTATTCAACAATATTGAATTATGGTTGTTTATTTAACACTTAATCAGGATCATCAGAGCAAACACAAGCGGAGGGATATTTCAATTTTACACCACAACCTTGTTCAAGCAAAATTGTTGTAGAAGCTAAAAAAGAAGGATCGTCAAATGTAACGGATGATCAATCTAATGAATGGCCATTTGAAAATGTGTGTGAATCTCTCTGCGTGGCTTTGTTTAAGTGAGTTCGCGTGTTTATAATAGCTTTTTTTTTCCTTCCTTGCGATAAATATTGACCGATTATCTTTCAAGTCCATGCTGGGAAGTTAGGCATGGTGCATGCATCGGTTTAAGAGAAATTCTTAAAGTACATGGTCATGGAGCTGGACGTCGCGGTGAGTATATACATATGATTCTAATCGCTTATTAAGCTGATATCAAATTAAGTTATATCGTGTTATTTTAACAGTTGGACTAACTAAAACGGAAAATGAATTCAGACATAATAAATGGTTGGAGGATGTAGCAATTCGTTTGTTATGCGTATTTGCACTGGACCGATTCGGAGATTTCGTATCAGATCAGGTATGTGTATATTACTATAATTATGTTATCCTTTTTTTTTATGTATATTGGTGTAACAATACCCAACGTTTTAATGATGACTTTAAAGGTTGTTGCGCCTGTACGGGAGACTTGTTCGCAAACAATGGGGGCACTTCTACGCTATATGTCACCACAGGGTGTGGAAAGTGTTCACAAAGTTTTATTACAGATGATTTATCAAACAGATGTGCAGGGAGATAAGCCATCAATATGGGAAGTTAGACACGCTGGGATGTTAGGTTTGAAGTACGCAGTTGCTGTCCGTAAGGATTTAGTGAATACAATATTGGACGGGACCGTGGGTGCAGTGATATTAGGGTATGTTTATGATTTTCTCAGTTATTCTATATATCACATTATTTACAAACTGCCTTTCATTTTCATATTTAAGGTTAAAAGATAATGATGACGACGTGAGAGCTGTTGCAGCATCCATTTTAATTCCGATTGCTGAACATTTTGTTACACTCTCTGCGCACAAAATACCGGAAATAGTTTCGGTGTTATGGGATTGCCTAAAGGATTTAAAGGATGATCTTACTGCATCTACAGCCAGTGTAATGGATTTTTTGGGTAATTTTATCTATCTATTTATTTACATATTTATTTATTTATTTTTTTCTTTTTTTAATAAATTATTATTGCGTCTTTCATAATTTCACTGACCTTAATTTAATGTCTTGTATTGAAAATAATTTCAGCCCGATTATTTTCCTTTCCAAAAGTATTAGAATATATGCGAACAGCTGCTACTTCTGATCCGAGGTAATTTCCAAAGGCTTATATTTCAGTTAATTTATTTTGTATTTTAACAATATTTTACGTTTCTTAGTCATTCATTGACAACATTAATACCTCGATTATACCCATTCTTTCGTCATACTATTACTTCCGTGCGCTCTGCGGTGCTAAACACATTGCTGACATTTCTGGGGATGGCAGATGTTGAAGAATGGGTAGATCATTACACTTTCAGGCTTGTTTTTCAAAATATGATTGTTGAAGAAAAAAGCGTACGCACTATTTCTTTATTCTGAGTTATAAGGCTAAGAAAAAAAGTTAAATTTATCCTCATTGAGAAACATTTATAATTTCAGGATGTTCTCGAACTATCTCTTAAAGTCTGGTCTGCTTTAGTATCTCACGTATCAAAGCCCGGCCGAGAAAATAAAATCATTGCTTTTACGGCTCCATACATTAGAACGTGGTTCATGATAATTATGACACCGTTAGGTACTCCAATTGATCGACGATTATTTTTTATACCCGATGGTCCAATTCCAATGGAAACATCACCTACCACCGCATCACCTACCAACACACGACGTCGATCACAAGGGCGAATTCAAACAAACAATGGTGATGATGTAGTGACCGGCCATAATATTGATACTGGGATGTTACAACAGGATTTTGCGTTGGTCAGCAAGGACACTGTGCTAAGAGGCAGAGTCACTGCTTCTAAAGGCCTGGGTATGTTAATGAGTCATTGGCCTAATGAGGTAGAACGATAATAATTTTGGCTTAGTTAAATAGTAATCACTGTGTTCCACATAATTTAATAGCCATGTTTGTTTTATTAAACCGTCTTGAATATTTATATATTTTAGTCTCTGGAAGCATCGTTCGAGGAAATAATTATTTCGTGCTTGTCTTCCTCTTGGGCATCAAATAAACAACTTGCTGCTGTCATTACAGAAGAGTGGGCACGTTCAATTGTAGAAAAGGAAGGTTATGACATTCATACATCATTGTTGAACGTATCACCATTAACACTTAAACTTTCAAACCATATGATCTCAATATTGGAATCTGAACCACCAAAATTTTATTCGGAACTTATACCTATTCTTCGTCGCATTCGTGGTGAATGTCAAGCATTGCTCAATACATTCGTTTCAGTCGGAAAAATTGACTCTGCGATTATCCCTGCTTTACCTTCACATGTTCTTGGCGAGGTCATTCAGTCAGATGTTTTATTTCCATTGTTCAGTATTGAAACAGCAGAGGAGATTTCGACAACTACTTTCAATAATTTATTAGCCCAAGTCACTGGGGTAGGTGGAAAATCAACACAAGCCCGTACCGATGAACGACAAGCCTTAAATGATCGCCAACGCCGAGTAGTATCATCAATCGGTTGTTATGAGTCAACTAAACAGGAAAATGACATTGTTGTATTCGCAGCAATTGCTGGTGCTGTCGTTGCATTGCGAACATTACCCCCTAAGCTCAATCCTGTCGTTAGATCTATTATGAATTCAATAAAAACTGAAAAAAATATAGGATTGCAGCAACGTTCGGCGGCTACATTAGCGAGCCTTGTTGAACTATGTGCTTCTGAAGATGGTTCAACGCGAGTAAATCCTAACGACAAAATCGTGAAAAATCTATGTACATTTCTTTGCTCTGATCCAACTACAACACCTGAGCTGCAAGCTAACCGTGCAAAGGAGGGTATACTGTCTTTACAGAAGGCTAAAGAGCCCGATAAAGGGTCATCTAATAATGATTCTCAACACGATGATGAAGAGTTAAAATCACAAAAATTAATACGTCGTGGTGCTGAAACAGCTCTTCGCCAATTTTCTATACAATTTGGATCCAGACTATTTGATATTGTTCCCAGGCTATGGGCGTGTGTGCATTCTTCTTTGAGCACAGTGTTCGCTCATGGTATGTAATGATCTGTTTGATTTTTTTAATAAATGGTCTCTATATGTTAAGAGTTTTATTTTGTTCTTGATATTATGTAGATGACAAAGAAAAAATAACATCAGTCTTCAAATCTAATATTAGTCTGGGACAAGATGTCATTGACTCTTTACA